AAGGGTTTCAGGAATACAACTATCTCAATCGTTTTGATTTTTCTTGCAATGACGTCGTATAGAAGCTTCTCGACTATAGAAGAAAACTTACCTGCTTATAGTCAAGAATGGGTCCCTCTTCTTTTCAAAAGGATTTTACAAAAATTTAGAACCTCTTTATTCAAAGAAGAATCTTGTGTCACGAAAGCCAAGTTGAAGCATCAGATCAGTACTAGAAGGCACAATAAATATGTGGAGCGAGCTCAGAACCTTGACAGAGGAAGAAGTAGAAAGAAGAATTTTGCAGTAAACTAAGGTACAAACATATCAATCAAATGAGGTGTTTTCTTCAACAGAAACAACATTTGACAAGAAAAAATGAAAACTCTGCTTCAAGTAAACATAGTTCACCGTCGAAAATTGAAACAACTACCTGCTGTTTTTGAGTACAAAGCCTAATAAATTGTACTCTCTGCTTTAGCTCTCTAAGTTTACTTGTTCAGGCAGAAGAAGAAAACTTGAGACATTTACACAACACTTGACTTTTACCCGTGGAGGCAAATACATTGGCAAACACATAAAAGGCAAGATAAAACGTGTGCAAAGGAAAGAAAAATCTGTATCAACAATAAGTATGTACGTTTACAATTTGTCCTAGGATAAGATTGACTCGTCACTAGAGCTTTTTCGGAGATTCATCATCATCGTTGCGAGCCCTTTTCGCCGACATTTCGACATCGGCTCCTAAAAAATGGAAGTGGTCCCTAGAAGAAGTTACGAAAGCTGGACACACCTTTCCGATGCCTTAACCCGCTTTCAATTCCCATGGCAGCTTTCTTCTTCTTCTGTTCACTCAGTGGAGGTGGCGCTGGTAATCGGCACGAGCCGTCCAGTGGCACCAGCTGCAAAGTTTATCTTCGTAATTTTAATGTTTTAAAAGAGAAATTTCCACAAACCTCTGGCTCCGGTCCAATAAGTGTTAACATCACTGGTAACAGGCATAGACCGTTGAATACCGCCAAAAGCACTAACATCGTCATCACAACGAAGAAGTACTTGATAACGAAGTCAAACTCGGAGAAGACCAACATTACGATACCTGCAAAAAAGCATTTAAAATACGGTAATCGTGCCAAGAAACCAAACGGACCGAGTAAGGTGGATATGGCACCATGAAACACGGGTACAAACATATGCTGCAAACAGGACTCGAGACGATCATCGATAGAACCCAAAGAGGTCAGGAAGGCTAGCACGACGTGAGCAGTGAATTCGACACCTGTAAAAGACGTTCTTGAAGCATGGAAATGCTTAAAACAAGGCC